TTATTTATTTACTCATGAGAGACACAGAGAGGCAGAGACACAGGCAGAGGGAGAAGCAGGCTCCCTGCAGGGAGCCCAGTGTAGGACTTGATCCTTGGACCCCAGGATCATGCCCTGAGCTGAAGGCAGACGCTCAAACCCTGAGCCACCCAGGCATCCCTATCTTAAATATTAAGATGTGATAAAAGGTTTCACTTTTATTTGCTCTCTTTGCCCCCTGCCCCCATCTTTATTCATTGCATCTCTGTTCTAAACACTTGTACTAGCATTCTGCCTTTTCCACTTCTTAAATCCCTTTATTGGTTTCATTCATTAATTCATTCAACTCATGCTTTGTCAAGGACTAAGTTATAGTCAGGCAGTGCCCTAGGTTTAGGGTTATAGCAGTGAATAGGCCCAGGTAACGATAGAATATGGTATGTTGAGATCAGGGTATTTGTTGTAGGTACATTGGTAGGGTAAGGCCTTTCCAAGAAGGTGATAGTCCTTCTGGTGCCTTTACTTTTCTCTCAAGCTTTTCCAGGTGTTGGTGATGGTTTCGGTACCTCTCATTCTACCTCCGCCCTCTTCCCTAGACCTCATGTCAGCACACCCTTTGCTTCAGCCCCTTCCTTGGCCATCCTACCTTACTCTGCTTGCCCTCCCTTTGGACTCCTCCTTCCTGAATGTCATGTTTTCTCGCTAATCATTTCCAGGAGTTTTCCTTAAGCAGCCATGGTTCTGTCACAAGGAATTTGCATGTGGGTGCTTAACACATACTTTTAAGTGATTTTAATATCATTCATATGCCTTGGACATTGCTATTTGAGAAATAATTCTAGTATAAACCAGAGGTTTTGAAATTTCTGGTTTGATGAATCATTGGATATAGGGGATAAAAGCTTTAAAAGAAGTACCTTTCCCAGCTCCTTCTGCTCAGCCCTGCAAATGCTGTCCACCTTATAAAAATGTCAGTTCAATAGAGTTTTGCCTTCATCTACATCCATGGAAGTAGCTATTAAAAACCCACTTGATACTGAGTAGCATACATTGAAATCTAGAGTGGAAATGACTCTTTAAAAAAAAACCCACGCCTAGTTTTAGTGTGACTCACATTTTGAATGAAGCCCAGACCACCTGTTGTTTATTCTCTACTATTTGGAACTCTACCTTCATTTTTTGGGTTTCCTCCAAGGGAGAGGGAGTAGGGATTTGCACCTAGCCTTCCATTTAATAAATAAATCAACAATGGAGTGGATCCTGTGAGTTTCATTAAACAATATACAGAGGCTGAATTTCTGAGTTTCTTAGCTCTCTTGGACAGACCCTTGGTACCATATAACCTCTGTAACAAATGCCAGTGCTGAGCATAATACCTAGACCATGATTGCTTTTGAATGTATGGATGAATAGGAAGAGAAAGGCCATGTCTTGTAAGTAAATATTCCCAAGCTCTTCAGAATAATTTGATTCTGAAAACTGTCCATCATTTGAAAACTGTCTGTGTCAGCTTTTTAGGCACTTTTGTTCTTATAATGAGGAACGGTTTTTATGACAACAGTAACACGAAACTACTATCTACACAGACTCAATGGCCTACATGAAAAATACTTTGCACTCTAATTAAGAACAAAGCACCTTATTATATCAGATTGAACTTTGGAATTATGTTTTTGTTTTTGTTTCATCTTGTAATACTGGACAAGGAGTCAGAGGGAAAGGGTCTATTAGGGGAAAAGTAGCTGTTTGAGGATTTAATTAATGGATTTAGTCTCATAGCTCCTTTAGGGGCTGCTCAGGTTAAGCCAGGAAGGATGGCAGCATTGTGGTGGTTAAGGATCTGGTTGCCAGTCTTGCAGGCTCTGTGATTTCATTCTGTCAGTTTTCCAGGGAATGGGCTGTCAGGTTCTCCCTACTTCTCAGCTTCCCTCCTGGTCTGTTCCTTCTGTCTCTCAGCCTCAGGTTTAGCCCCACTCAGACTCTATGACCCATTTAGTGTGGAGGCCAGAGTGTTCCAGGGCTTTGCTACTCAAAATATGATCTGAGCAACAAGGACATCATCTGCCCACTTGTTGGAAATGCATAATCCCAGGCTCCACCCCAAACTTCTGAATCAGTATCTGCCCTTGAGTGAGATCACTTGTCTGCATGTAAAAGTTTGATAAGCACTATTCAAGAGGGCTCAAGCCCAGCAATGAATGACATGGTTATCAAACTTGAGCGAGCCTCAGAATCACTGCTAGCATCATTCATACAAAAATGAACATTCCTGGTCTGCACCCCAGAGATTTGAATCAGGGAGTCTGGGATAGGGTTTAGAATCTCTCTTTGCTTGGGCATGTGCTTCTCATCTAGTTCTGAGCTCAGTGGAAGGCTTCTATACAGTCTGGTATCTTTATTCCATTTCTATTCACCAGTGTCCTGTGTCTCAGTCTCCACTTTAAAGATTCTTTTCAGTGGTGGCTTCAGAATTTCTATGCAGAAATGTCTTAGAACAGCAATCCGGTTTGGAGAAGGAGGCTTGAAACTGGTTTTTGCTGAACACTTTAAATAAGATTGAGGAAACATCAGTTGCCCATATCAAGAAACCAGAGACGAATAATGGAGACTATTGAGGGGTACCATTACTACTTGCTTTATTCCTACCAGTCCCTCCCTCTGGGCCCAGAGACCTTCTCTTGAACTCCAGACCTATAGTTAGAGCCTTCTAACCACAAGCAGCAGAACCAGTCTCTGCCCAACTTAGGGTAGGCATTTATTAGGGAGATATCAGATGACTCACAGGATAACAAGAAGACTAGGGAGCAAGGCTCATAAGTAGGTAGGAGGCGGGCAGATTTGGGGGTTGGAGTAGCAGGAGCTCCTTGATAGTTTTTTTTTTTCTGGGAACACTCTTAGAATGAATGAATTCCAACTATTTTCAATCTTTCTGCTATTTTTCTGAGGACTTGAATCTCTGGACAGGAATATCTGGCCTGGCTTGGTGAGGGGAGGGCTGCCCACCTTGAGTAAAAGTCTTAATAGATTATATCCAAAAGGAAGAATAATTCCCCAGTGGAAATGAGGGTGCTAGAATAGATGCCTAGCAGCCAAAAAAGCAATCAGTGTCTTGTGACCTGATAGTATGTATGCTTCTGTGGCTTCTCAGACTCCATTAGAAGTAAGTTCCATGAGACCAGAATTTTTGTCTGTTTTGGTTTCTGTTGGAACCTATGTGCATAGAACAGTTCCAGCACATGGCAGATTCTCCATAAATATTCATTAAGTGAATGAATGCCCAGAGAGAGGCTGTGTGTCGTGATGGTGAAGACATAGCCCCTGGAGTCAGGCTGCCTAAATTAAAGCTCAACTCTCTTACTTCCTCATTGTGTTAAGCTTGGTGGGTACTTAACTCCTTCGTGCTTATGTGCATAGGCTTTCTCATAGCTAAAGTGACATTGACAATAACACGTTCCACTTCATAAGGTTGTAGTTAGAATGGATTCAGAACAGTACCTATTATGTTGGCTATTGTTCTGTCTATTACTGTGTACAGTACTGTGTATTTCTTTGTTCATAATTCTGTAATTTGGACAGGGCTCAGAAGAAACAACTCATTTCTGCTCCCTGTAGTGTCTGCTGGTACTGGACCATCCCTGAGCATCTGGACTCACATAGCTGATACCCCAGCAAAGATGGCTCAGATTGTTGGGGGCTAGCAGAAAAAGTTTGCCTAGGACCATATATCTGGGACATTGGTGCTTGCTGTGAACTGGGTTCTCAGTTCCCTTCCATGTAGCCATAGGACTGCTGCTTCTCATATGGTCTCTCCATGGAATCTCTGAGTTGGCCATGTAAGAAGTTTGGCTGACCTGCTTCCAAGGGTGCAAAAATGGAAGCTTCTAGATTCTTAAGGCATAAGGTCTTAAGGCTTAGGTTGCTTTCTGTTGGTTTTTCTACCTTCGCACTTTGACATTTGGAGCTGGATAACTCCTTGTAGTGGGGGACTATACTCTACATTGTTGGATGTCTGACACCTTTCTGGACTCTACCCACTAGATGCCAGTAGCACTCCCCTTCCCCTTTTGACAACTGTCTCCAAACATTGTCAAAAGTCCCCTGAGAGGGCAAAGTCTCCCCTGATTAGGGACTATTTGGTTAAAGCAAATCACGGGTCCAGCCAAGATTTAAGGAGGGAGATTGAAGAGGGCATGAGTACCAGGGAACCTGGTTCATTCAGGGCCATCAATGTACAGACTCCCATCACTATTATCATCTCCAAACATTGCTCACTGCAGGAATCCCTGTTCCTAAATTCTGCCCATTATGTTGGGCCATATCTCCCTCTTGCTAATGGGCTCCTCGTTCTGACTACTTGTCTGATGTCCTCTCTTGTCACCGCAGATGCCTGCAATCTCTATATCTGGGCACTGATCTTGGCTTCCTCTCCTGCACCACCACTCCTGTGGCCATGAGTGGCTCCTTCCACTCTGTTTCATCCTTCTGCAGTTAACTGCAGTGCTCATGTTATAGCACATGACCAGACTCTTGGAGGGAAATGGCTGATCTTATAGGCTCTGAATATGGTATGCACTTTCATACCCATACACAATCACTACACTGTCTTTCCCTAAGGTACTTGCCTTACCACCCCTTCTCCCACTAACTAACTCCAATTTTTTTCTTCCAGATTCATCTTAGGAGCCACCTCCCCCAGGAAACTTTATGAAAAGTCCAGTCTCTAGTCCAATTTAGCAGTTTTTGGAGGGTGGAATACATGTCATAGTCATCCTCATGTTCCCACAGTGTCTGTTGCATGGAAACTATTTCTTATATCAATAAATGAGTGATTTAAAAGCTAAAAGAAAGAATTTAAAATTTGAGGAGAGACTGGGAAAGTGTAGAAGTAATCATGTCATGATCTAGGACAGAGCCTTCTGGGCAGAAGGATCTGAAAGTTCACAGCCAGAGGCTTAAGTGGCTATGTGTGTTTGAAGGGAGCAAGGAGGCCTTTGAGGCTGAGGCGGAATGAGGGAGGAAGAGAACAGTAGGAGATGAGGTCAAACAAGTAATGGGACAAGATCGTTTGGCTTTGTAGGTCAAGGTAAGTGCTTGGGATTTTATTCTGAATGAGACAAGAAGCCATTGGGGGAAGGTTTGACTTACACTGATCTATGATCTTAGAGGATTATTCTAACTCTTGTGTTGAGGCAGGCCAGTGTGGAAACAGTGAGGAAGCACTTGCAGTATCTGGCAAGAGAGGCTGGTGGCCTTTCCTGGTAGACTAAATGTGGGATATGAGACAAGGAATGGTATCAGGGATGACTTCATGGTTTGAGGCCTGAGCAAGAATAATGGAGAACAATTTTCTGATGGGGGGGATTGCTTAGGGATGGAAATTAAATGTTTAGTTTTGACATGTTAAATATAAGATGCTTACTATATATTTAATTGGTTGCAGAGTAGACCATTGGATATATAAGCATGAAGTGCAGAGGAGGTAGTTGAACTGAATATGTAAATGTGGAAGTTCTTTGCTCTATTGCTTAAGCTAAGATAAACTTCTGTGATTTAAAAAATACCTGGGGGATCCCTGGGTGGCTCAGCAGTCTGGCACCTGCCTTAGACCCAGGGCGTGATCCTGGAGTCCCAAGATCAAGTTCCATGTCAGACTCTCTGCGTGGGGCCTGCTTCTCTCTCTGCCTGTGTCTCTGCCTCTCTCTCTCTCTCTCTCTCTCTCTTTCTCTCTCTCTCTGTCTGTGTCTCTCATGAATAAATAAATAAAATATTTTTTAAAAATAAAAAAAAAAACCTGAGCGAATACAATGGCTAAAAGCAATACAATTTTATTTCTCATAATTTAACAGTCCGGGAAAGTTCTAGATCATTGGCAAACTGGGACAAGACCTACGTCTATAGAGAGTTGCGGACAGCCTGATTAAAGTGGTTCAACATGAATGGTGAAAGTGAGGAACTGGAATTGGAGATTGTATAAACCATTCATTTAAGTTTTGTTATGAAGGGGAGCCAAGAATGGAGAGTAGCTTGAGGGAGATGTAGGTTCCAGGCTTTTTGTAGTTATTGCTATTGTTGTTGTTTTTTTGTTTTGTTTTGTTTTAATATTTTAAGTCTTTTTTTAATTAGGAGAAATGACAACATGTTTGTATGCTGATGGGAATGGTTCAGAGGGGAAAAGATGGATGATGTAGGAAGGAGAGAGATTTCAAGAGCCCCCAGTCCTTGAGTAGGCAGAGGAAATGCCAACAGAAAGAGGCTTTAGGCAGTTATATGAACCATCCGCCATCCATAAAAATCAATAGGCCACAGATACAGGTGGGGGCGGGGGTCACCTATCTTGGTGTGTCTGGGACTGAAGGGTTTCAGGGATCATGAGAATTTTAGTACCCAAACATGTATAGCCAAGGGCAAACAGCAATACTTGGTCAGTTACCTTAGAGGTAGGAAAATTTGTGGTGTGAGTTTATGGAAATTCTCTTTTGATTATTTGGAGTGTGGCCAAATGAGGAAGGGCAAGTTGATTTGACCATTACTAAGTACCTACATAGCCTGAATCCCACCATTATACAATGTGAAGGGTCAATGTGAGATTGTTTTCCCTATTCTTGAGGAGTTTAGGCTAGTGGGAAAAATAAAAAAGAACATGACTATTATAAAGCAAGCCAATGCGGGATGTGTGTAATGGGGCATCTAAGTCATGTTCCATGTATTCTTCAGCAAACTATTATCTGCTAGAATAGATAATACTCAATAATAATAATAATAACAGTTAACATTTCCTGAGGTCTTACTGATTTCCAGTCACTGTGCATCCATTGTTTCATTTCAGCTTCACAACAAATTTTGGGGAGATCCTATTGTTATTATCTCCATTTTACAAGTAAGGAAACAAATGCAGAACGACTAAGCAATTTCTCAGGTCATTCACAGGTGGGCAGAGGCAGGTCTTTAATCCTGGTGACTCCCTGCCCCAACTTTTAAGTGCTACACTGCACTGCCTCTAGGAATTGCTATAATGCATGGTAGTATGTGATGAATAGTACTGACAAGTGCCGTACACATTTAGAAGGAGAGAGAACTTTTGTTTAGGGCAATCCAGGAAGACTTTCCTGGAGGAAGTGTTATTAAATGGAACTTGAAGAGATTAGGATTTCATTACGCAAAGGTGGGGAAAAGACATGTCAAGCAGAGAAACTTCAATGAGAACTAAGTTCTCTTTTTCTTCACCTACTTTCCTCATCGACTCCCAGTCTCTATGATCAGCTTGGCTTTCCCTTGCTTCCAAGGAAGTTCTTTATGATTTTAAGAAAGATGCATATATATGTCAGACATACAGAAATTGCACCAGTCATAAGTATGGTCCTTAAACACACCTGTGTAACAACTTACAGTTAAGAAATAGAACTTTGCCAGCGTCACAGGATTCTCCCTCATGCTATCTTTTAATCACAATCCCTGATCCCCCACTCCCAAACCGAACTTTCATGACTGCTAAAATTATAAATTAGTTTTGGCTACTTTTGAGTTTGGTATGAAGGGAATCCTACATTTTGTTCTTTTGGGTATCTGGCTTCTTTGGCTTCTTTTGCTCTGTGTGTTTCTAAGATTCATTGATAATGTTGGATATAGTTGTAGGTTTTTTCATTCTCCTTGCTTCATGGTATTTTACTGCATGCATATTCCAAAAATTCCACTATTTATTAAATCTTTCTACTGTTGATGTGTGTTTGAGTAACTGTTTTTGGTAATTAAAAATAGTGCTGCCATGAACACTTTTGCAAATGTGCTCATTTCTTTTGAGCATAAACTTGCACATGGATTTAAAAGTATGCCAGCTTCCTTCCAGTGTTCCCATGTCCTAGCCCCTGACTGTGTTTCTAGCACCACCTGGCATGTACTGATGAGATTATGGGGTCAAAGTAGCCACTTACCAGTGCTCTTGGTTTGATGCAGAGCTTCTTATACAAAATGCAGTGAAACCAGGTAACCAGGTCTCCAGAGATGTAAATAAAGAATTACATGCAGGCAATAAAATATTGCAACAGAGATCAAGCACAAGCCAATCCTATCTCCTTCTTGAGTGGCTCTGGTCCAAAACTATTAACATGGCTAATTCTCATTCCTTCTGAGCCACTTCAGTTGCAAAGTCCTTGTAGTTAACTGTTTCTAGCTAAGAGCGTTTTGTTTCATCATCATGTTTTCTACATGCAACACATGATAGATACTCAATATTTTTTGTTCAAAGACTTTCTGGTTTAGTCCCCGATGGTATACAGAATCACCTCCTTGTACTTTTTCTTAGGATAATTTTTTGTACTGTTCTATTGGGTACCTAGTAGCCACATGAAACTATCGAGCATTTGACATGTGGTTGGTGTGATTGAAGACTGAATATTTTTAATATCTAATATTAATTGATTTAAATGTAAAAAGATACCCCATTTTATTATGAAAACTTCTAAGCATGTTTGGACCAACTTGGCTATGGAAAACCACCCATTTTTCAACTGAGAATTTTATGAAATCTAAGCTCACATCAAGTACTTCCGATAAATATTTTACAACCACATCAAGTTGTGCTATAGTGTAAAACATACAAAAAGACTTTGTATGAAAAAAGAATGTGGAGATCTTGTTAAATTTCTGTATCGACTACATTTCAAAATAATATTTTGAATATACTGAGCTAAATAAAGTGTACTATTAAATTTAACTTCACTTGTTTCTTTTATTCTTTTGTTGTGGCCGTTGGTAAATTTTATTTTATTTTTTTAATTTTTATTTATTTATGATAGTCACACACAGAGAGAGAGAGAGAGGCAGAGACACAGGCAGAGGGAGAAGCAGGTTCCATGCACCGGGAGCCCGACGTGGGATTCGATCCCGGGTCTCCAGGATCGTGCCCTGGGCCAAAGGCAGGCGCTAAACTGCTGCGCCACCCAGGGATCCCCGTTGGCAAATTTTAAATTACGTATGTGGCTTGCACTCCATTTGTGTGGGGTAGTTGCTTTTCTTTTCTTTTTCAAAGTTTTATTTATTTATTTATTTGAGAGAGGGAGAGAACACAAGTGGGGTTAGGGGCAGAGGCAGAGGGAGAGGGAGCAGCAGGCCTGACATGGGGCTTGATCCCAGGATCCTGAGATCATGACACAAGCCAAAGGCAGATGCTTAACTGACTGAGCCCCCCAAGTGCCCCTGATAATTGCTTTTCTAAAGATTTCTGAATATAGCTGGTGGTCTTCTGCCTCAGAAAGCTAGGTAAGACTATTTATATAAATGCAGAATATGTTTCAGTAAATGTGGCTGATGGTCAGGAAAGGGAGGCACATGTGATGCAGGAGAATGAACATGAACTGTGGAGTCAGGCTCCTCTGGATTTGTATCTGAGTTCCACCACTTAGTAAGTAGGTGACCTTGAGCACAGTATTTAACCTCTCTGAGCGCATAAAGGCCCAGATTTCCTCTTTTATAAATCAGGGATATAAATGCTATACCGGACACTGTCAGTGCTCTGCCTAGATCCTTTGGGTCCTGTTTATTATTTCTGTGTGAGTACACACACACACACCCCTCCCTCAAATTTGGGACACACCCCCAAATTCCCAAGGCCCCCAGCCCAAATAGAGGCTTCACCTAGAAGTCACATCCTTTCTACCTCTGTGCCACTTCCTTCATCTACGGTTCAGCTCTGGGAACCCAACCTAAGACAGCTACCTGCCTTATATATATTTTTGAAGATTAAATGAGAAGTGCCTGGCACTGGGAAGGTTCTTAACCCTACCCCACGATACATACCAGCCAATACATTCCAGTGATTTTACTACCACATCAGGAAGATGTGAATTTTCAGGGACTTTTTAGACTTTAGGAGTGGATCTGTGTTGACACATCTGTAGTCTCCCTCTTGAGATCGGTACCCCAACCAGATGTAACAAACATGTAAAAACTCATAGGTTCTTGGGATCTTAGAGAACATCATATCCCCTTATGAACACCAATGTTACATATGTTTCTGTGATTTCTCTCTGAGTACATTGTTAGACATCGTGAGTAATGACATCATTCCTAGGGTATTAATTGTACTCC